CATTTGCTGACGTTTTGGGTTGTTTCCTTTCTCCACGGCATCAAAAATCATTTCCTTGTTTCTCAACCACGTAGATAATCAATATCAATATCAATCAATCAATATCAATATATATTTTCTGAAATATTTGGTCTTACATACATTTCAAGGTTGTTTACAAATAGTATAAACTACTAACTTCACGTAAACACCTAATGATAACGATTAAAATAGTAATAATAATAAAGATAATATTTATAATAATAATAATAATAATAATAATAATAATAATAATAATAATAATAAATTATAACATTTTATTTTAACAATAGTAATAATAATATACTAATTAAAATAATTTAAATAAATCAGTAAAGTTTTCCATACAACAATCGTTATTACATACAAAGTTACAGTTACAAACAGTAATAAACTGACAAAACGTAACAACTAACGATGACATAAAAACAACCACTGCTAAAAAAAATTGTACAGATTTAGTAAATATATTTTTTTTATAATAACCGAAATATATTGCAAATAATATGACAAAGCAAATAAATAGAATGCAAAAAAGAAAAATACTGAGAAAATCAAAGCAAAACAAAAGTTACAACAAACATTACAAGCAAAACAAAAATTTACGTTAAGTTCATTTGGCAATAAAAAAAAAAAAACATCAACAACTACAAGAAAAGAACAACATAAATTAGAAATAATAAAAAAAGAAAGAAAGAAAAAAAAAAAAAGTAATAATAATACACGGTAGAATAAAACATTTATAACAAATGCTTAAAACGAAAATAAAAACAAAAAATATATAACACTATAAAAAATTAGATATCACTATTTAAAAATAATTAAATAACTAAAAAATAAAACAATAAATGACTAACAAAAAATAATAAGTAAATTTTTATACGCTAAAAAACTAAAGAAAAATCATTACTACAAGACCGCTTAAATAAAAAATGAAATCGTAAACAATGAATCCTAAAAAAATATGAAAGAAAACTAAAGAAATACATGAAATAAAACAAAAGAAATATATAAAAAAATAAAAAAATCTTCATTTTCCGATCTTTTTTCGATGCATAAAGTTTTTTTTTCCTTTTTTTCCATTCTTTTTATTTATTTCATTCATTTTTACTTCTATTTTCTATACTTCTTTATTTATTTTCTTTCAGATGATCTTTTCTTGTTTTAAAATATTTATTTTTAGTTGATTTTATTATTGGCTTAATTTATAAATGTTTTCTTTTCTTTCTTTTTTCCTCTCTAAAAAAGTTGTTTTTATCCGTTTGAAAAAAGCGTCCGCCATTTGCGATGTCATTGCAAAGAATAAGATATAATATAATATTTTACTTTAGTAAAATATTATATTATATTATAGATAAGATATAATATATATATTTTACTTTAGTATAATATATTTTAAAGCGATATTTGACTTTGAGATTACAGAGCCATCTAATACTTTCTTCAGTGTGTTGTATTTGACTTTAACAGTTTTTGTATTCAATTGTAATTGTCGCCATGTTACAAACTTTGAGTTTTTATCTTTGCAATGACTTCGCAAATGGTGGACGCTTTTTTCTAACGGATGATAATAACTTTTTTAAAAGAGGAAAAAAGAAAAATGTAAACATTTATAAATTAAACGAAAAATAAAATCAACTAAAAAAGAAGAATGAATAAATGTTTTAAAAGAAGAAAAGAAAAAGAAATATTTGAAAGAAAATAAATAAAAAAGTAATGAAAATAGAAGTTAAAAAAAAACAACAACTAATGAATGAAATAAAAATGAATGGAAAAGAAAGAAAATAATAACTATTTCTATACATCGAAAAAAGATTGGCAAATCAAGATTTTTTTATTTTTTCATATATTTCTTTAGGTTTATTTCATATATTTCTTAGGATTCTTTATTTACGATTTATTTTTTAGTTTTGCTGTTATGCGGTCTTGTAGTAATGTTTTTTCTTTAGTTTTTAGCGTATTAAGTTTTACTTTATATATTTTGTTAGTCATTTATTGTTTTATTTTTTAGTTATTAATTATTTTTAAATAGTGATATATAATTTTTTATAGAGTTATATATTATTTGTTTTATTTTCATTTTAGCTATTTATCATATATGTTTTATTCTACCATGTGGTATTATATATTTTTCTTCTTTATTTGTTGTTATTTTTAGTTTTTATTTTATGTTGTTGTTTTTTTATTGTTTTTTTTTGTTGTCAAAAATATTTAACGTAATTTTTTTGTTTTGTTCTTAAAGTTTGTTGTATCTTTTGTTTTGTTTTGATTTTTTAAGTGTTTTTCTGTTTACATTTTATTTAATTAGTTTCTGTTTACATTTTTATTTATTTTTTATTTGCACTATATTTTAGTTATGATCAGTGCCGGATCATGGGGGGGGGGGGGCAAATTTAGGGGCCCCCAAAAATTTTAGAGGACCTTTTTTAAAAATAAAAAGGCCTCCAAAAACAAAAATAACCCCGGGCCCCAAGAAATCTTAATCCGCCACTGGTTATGATATTATAAGAGTTATGATTAATATATTTACTAAATCATTAAAATTTTTTTTAGCAATAGTTGTTTTTATGTCATCGTTAGTTGTTACGTTTTGTCAGTTTATTACTGTTTGTAACTGTAACTTTGTATGTATAAGCGATTGTTGTATAGAAAGTTATACCGATTTATTGAAATTGCTAAATTATTTATATTAATTACTATATTATTAATATTACTATTTTTAAAGTAACATGTTATTATTATTATTATTTATTATTATTATTGTTATTATTATTATTATTATTTATCATTATTTTATTATAAATATTTTTATTATTATTATTACAATAACTATTTTAATCATTGTTATTAGGTGTTTACTTAATATTAGTAGTTTATACTATTTGTAAGCAACCTTGAAATGTAATACCAAATATTTCAGAAAATATATTGATTGATTGATTGATTGATTAAAAAATAATTTTCAAAAAAATTTAGCAAAAAAAAAAGCAATACAATGTCTTCCTTAAAGTATTTTATGTTTTATATGGAATGACTTCTTAACAAAAAATTTTAATCAAGTTATTTTGATTTCATTATTTTCCATACAAATAGTTCGAGTTATCCGACGAAAAGGGAAAATAAAATGATTCGACTTAAAAAAGTTCGAGTAGTTCGATGTTCGGCTAAACCGAAGAATTTTAATATTAATCAGTTAAACAATTTCAAGGGACCAAATGAAACAGTTCGAGATAACAAAAGTTCGAGTTAACCGGTGCTCGACTTACCGGGAATTAACTGTATTTATTTTTTCATAAATATTAACTAGTTTTGTACTCATAGACAGATTTCAAATTTTATTTTTGAATTATTCAGTGTTCAGTTTTTATGACCATATAAAGTTTGTAGAAAAACACTCTAATTAAAATTTACTATTGTTATTAATATTATTATTATATGTGATGTTAATATTACTTACATTTTATTTACATTTTTATTACCGTCATTATTACTTATTGAAATTGTTTAATATATAAATGTGATATTTGTTAATATTATTATTGTTATTACTATTTTTATTATTGCTATTATTATTGTTGTTGTTATTATAGTTACTAATATAATCATTATTATTGTCATTATTATATTTAATAATGTTATTGATATTATTATAATCGTCTTCATTTAACTTACATTATTATTATTATATGATTGCTATTATTATTTAATTGGTGTTTACCTTAGATTAGTACTCGTACTATTAGTAAACAACCATGAAATGTAAACTTTTATTTCAGAATATATATTGTTATTGTTATTGTAGCCCCCCCCCCCAAATTAAGGGGGGGGGACTTCTTTTCTTGGTCATAAAAACTGAACACTGAATAATTTAAAAATAAAATTTGAAATCTGTCTCTTTAACCGTTTTTCCATAAAAAAATAAAACAAAACTTGAAAAGATAAAAAGTTACACATCAAAGAAATAAAAGCGGGTCAACGTGCGCCGGTCTACCCTACTAGAATTTTACAACCGCGAAGAAATATCTCGATGGACTCCAGGTATGGAAAACTTTTTTAAAATTGAAGGTGAAAAATTAAAATTCGGTAGCAAAATAAAATGTTCAAAATTTTTGCACTTTGTCCGGCTCAAATATCCACGTAGACGTAGACGCCTCTTAAAACCTACTTTTGTCTAAATCGTGAAAATTAATTAGTAAATGCAATGCTTTAACTTCAAAAACCTGTTTTGAACCTTATAACATAAACTGGGTAATTAAATGAATTCTTTGCAGCCATTCTCCTCCAGATTGCCTCTTACTCTTATGTAGTTTTTATTAGAGATGTGCCGGTGTGGGAGGTATGAAGTACTTAACCGGTACGGATCACTGTACAGTAATTCCTACCTGACGGTACCGATCACTTGACAAGTGATTCCTACCTAGTAGGGTGGATCGATTTTTAAAATTTTTGAAATTTGATTTGCCTGAGCTGCGAATCGATGTCTTTTAGTGAAAAAAGAACATTACTTTTTTTTTTTTTTAATTTAAATGAGTTTTAGAGGTTTCTCTTTGGATTCTAAATTTATGACGGAACCTAATATTGTTGAAATTTTTTTTCTTCTAAACTATATCAACCTGGTATTCAAAAGAAGCAGAATAATACGTTTATTTTGAATATTATATTTGTTTTAATTCAAAATTAAACTGAAAAAAATAATGTCGTTTTTTTCATTAAAAAACCCCCGTCTTTATCAAAACGGGGGTTTTAAGGTATACTTTTGTAAATATTTTTTTAACTAAAAATTTTTTTCAATAAAATTATTATTAATAAAACAAGCATTTTTTTCTGCTTTTTTTGAGTCCAAGGTTGACATAGTTTAGAAAAAAAAAATTTCAACAATATTAGGATCCGTCATAAATTTAGAATCCAAAGAGGAACCTCAAGATCTCATCAAAATCAAAAAATATTTTTTTACTTTCATCTTATAATTAATAGACATCGATTCGCGTCTCAGGAATATTAATTTTTAAACTTTTTTTTTTTTGCAATGAAAATCGATTCACCCTACTACCTAGCTGCCAAACACTGTACTTGGGTACCGAACACTTAACATTTGAATTTTGCCGTGTAAATGTTTTGAAAAGAGGTAAGAAACATGGAAAATAATACAAAAAACGTTTGTTCACTATAGTGAACATACTGCTATAGCAGTATAGTATTAGTTTAAACAAAACTTCAAAATCAAACGTTTAATATTTATCTTTTTTTTTTTGTGTTGTAATTTTTTTAGATCAAATTAAGATTATTATTATTAGCAAAATTTATTATATAGTAAATTATTATATAACAGTTGTTAACAAGGCCAAAAGTAGCAAGGCCAATCCCACAAGTTACAAGACTAAAGCCAAAAGTTGCAAGGCCAAAAGTTTTAAGGTCAAGGCCAAGTCTTGGCTTTGACCTTTAGGTCAAGTCTTGTCCCAAGATTAAGAGTTACAAGGCAAAAACGGACGCAAAGATTTTTAAAACTTAAGGCTTCAATTTTTGCTTTACCTTTAGGCCACAACTGTAAATAGTAAGTGCTGTGATAATAAAACCACTTTTTGTAAAAATAGACCAAGTTTATGTTCAGATTTCAACAAAATCAATAAGAAAATGTGTTGTTTTTTTAAAGGCCTAAACAATCAAGGCCAAGGCCAAAATTTTTAAGGCCAAGGCCAACAGTTTCAAGGCTACGAGCCTTGGCCTTGAAAATGGAAATTTTAAGACCAGGCCAAGACCAAGGACTAACAACTTTGTTATATAATAACCGCTTTAAAATAATTCAATAGATTATCATTTCAATTAATTAACTTATTTAACTAATATTGTTTACATGCATTTTATTATAAATTTATGATAATTATAATTTATGCTATAGTTGCTGTGGGTATATGATGAATGCACTAATAGCACATAAATTAGCCTATAGCACTGCTATAAACACTTTTTTTATTATTTTAGATATTTTAGTATAAAATGACAGACAAAAGTTCATCAGAGATAGACGAATCAAGATCATCTAAAAAAATAATAAAAGAACCAAACTTTTATGATATTGAAAATTATTTATTATCAGGAATTTTTCCTGAACATTTACAAGGAAGAGAAAACATTACAAATATAGAAACATTACAAATATAGAAATATGAAATGCTACATTACAAATATAGAAAAATCATGAAAGTTACTTCTGGTCCAGAGACTTTATGCGTTTTCAAAGATCAAATGTCTCGTATTCAGTACAAAAAAAGCTGCACACGATGGATTAGGCACATCAACTGAATCAAAGGCTATAGGTGGACATGTTGGGAGAGATAAAACAATATGGAAATTGATTGATTCAGGATATTGGTGGCCGAGTATGAATAAAGATGTCCGAAATTATGTAACCACTTGTGAATCTTGTCAAAAATCAAATTCAAAAATGAAAAAAGTTTCTCCAGAGTTGCATCCAATACCAGTTCCAACAAAAATATGGCATCAAGTTGGTGTTGACCTCTGTAGTCTTCCTAAAAATCCAGAAGTTTATGTTGGAATTTGTGTAGTTGTTGATTATTTTTCAAATTGGATTGAAGCAAAGCCTATTTATAATAAAAGTGCTGAAGAGGTATCCAGATTTCTTTATGAACTTATATGTTGACATGGTTGTGCCTCAATTCAAATTAATGATCAAGGTCGAGAATTTTGTAATAAAGTTTCTGAAAATTTGCTAAATCTTACTGGAACCTGTCAACGCATTACTTCGGCTTACCATCCTCAAGCGAATGGTCTGATTCAACAAGCTAATAGAACTATACAGGGTTCTATGCTTAAAGTGCTGAACAGAGAGCAAGAAAATGACCTCATTCATTAGATAGCATACTGTTTACATTTCGAACAACTCGCCACAAGTCAACCGGTGTCACTCCCTTTTAAGTTATGTATGCAAGGGAGCCAGTTTTACCCTTTACGTTGCATAAATATTGATCAAAGCTTAATTCATGATGTACCTGTTGATTTAGACATAGAAGAAGGTATATATTTTAATAAACGAATGGAATAAATTTATTGAATTTTATTTTATACATATAGTTGTTTTTTTTAAAGGTATTTTGGAACAGGTTGATTTGCTCGAAAACTTAAAAGGAATTAAAAACATTCAAAGTATAATTCATGATGAAGTAATTCAAAAGAAGGACTATGAGAAACGTCACAAAAACCAAATCCAGTTCAATATAGGCTATGAAGTTTTTGTTTATAATCTTAGTAGAGCTGATAGAAAAGGTGATAAAGAGAAATCTGTTTGGGATGGACCGTACGAAGTTATTGAAACATTTATTGATAAAGGACTTTATCAGCTAAAACAAAAAAATGGTAAAACACTTCATACCAAGCATCATGGTTCAAACATGAAACTTTCAAAGAAAAGATCGGAAGATGAAATACTTCAAAAATCATGTGATGAGGTATCTGATATTAAATCTGAATCTTTAGAAATTGTTGAAGTTGTTATCAGCAAAACAAACTCTTTTATACCTACTAATAGTAAATGGAGAACAAAGAAATGCTCCCTGTTGAAGATTTCTTTAACTAATAAAATACCTTTTAAAAAAGGTTTTGCTGTACGAAAAAAAAAGTTACAATTGGGAAAACCGATTAGTGTTGATAAAATTGAAGGTGATGGAAATTGCTTATTTCGAGCTTTAAGTCAGGAAGTTTGTCTAAGTCAAGAGTTTTATAAAATACTGCGTCAACTAGCAATTGATACTCTTTTAAAAGCGGAAAATAGAAATGCTTTTGATGCTTATATATCAAAACCAGTTTTAAAATACATTAGTGATTCAAAAATGGAGACTGACCAAATATGGGGCACTGATGTCAAAATATATGCATTAGCAACTGCCTTGAATACACCAATTGCTGTTTACTATAAGCTCCCTGAAGCTTCTGTATTTTCGTGGTTTTTTTACAAACCTCTTCTTCAAAATACAAATGGGGTTAAACTGATGGAAATAAAAGAAAATGACCAAATAGTTTATCTGCAAAATACTGGTGTACATTATGATTGAGTTTTAGCTGTCAGTTGATTTTTGTTCACATTAGGTTGAGTTTTTATTGACTTTTTAAAAAGTTTTATATATTTATATTTCTTATTGACTTTATTTTAAGATTGTTTTGACTATTCTTGTAAATGTTGTGCAGTTTATCATTTTAAAACTAATCTTGTTTTATAACTCTCCCTTATTAAGTTTTGATTTAAGTTTTAGCATACAAGAAATTGAATTTATTGATACTATGCTAATTTAAAATACTATTGTAAATTTGTTCTTTTCTGTAAATACTTTTAATGAAAGCTTCTTAATTTTTAAGTAGTTTAGGTTTGCTTTTTAAACAACAAAATTTATTTGATTGAGGAATACAATTGAAGTTTTTTGTCTTGCAGATGGCCTCTTTTCTTTTTTAATCGCACGCGGGTTTTTTTTAAAATGCCAACAGATTTTAAAATACCAATGAGTTAATTATAAAAGAATAAAATTATAAAATTTTAGAAAACAGCCAACCTCAACTGAGATTTGTAGTCTTCTAAAATCAATGCTTTTTTTACCCTTGACAGGTACAGTTTTCCAGGAACTAAAAAAGGGTCACTAGCGTGTCACAACGGAATTTTAACTGAATGAAAAAATTAAAATATAAATGAACTTTGAGCGTTAATTAAAGTGTTTTATATTAGGAATTTTACCCACATTTGGGTCCTCATAATAGTATTTTTTTGAAAATAATATGGCTAATCAATTAATAAAGCTTAAAAAACAACCAAAAAAGTGAGTGTCCAACAAAACTTACCACCAAGGTCCATGAAGGGCTAAAAGCAGCCTCGAAAAAATATATATTTTATTTGAAAAACTTTTAGCAACATTGTGGTAACAACAGCAATAAGACTTATCGAATTGATTTAACTACTCGGATCAGGTCACCCTGCTTCTGAAATACATTTAATCCAATACAACTTTCTTTATATAGAGCAAGTACGACTCCTTAGTTGAAGTGAAATCAACTAACTAAGGAGAAGAAAAAATTGAAATAAAACTCCTAATCTATATGTCAATAAGGGTAGTAGAACCTCGTAAACCTTGAAAGATAACCTAACGAGTGTTAGCGAAAATAAGAATACTCAGTCATCAACTTCAAAACAGGTAAAATTTAAGAAGTCATGTTGTAAAAGCTCTTATGTAATGTAGTTTAATTAGAAAAAAGAAGTTTAAAAAATTTAACCTAAATCGTATTATAAAATTAACTTAATCCAATTATTTTAAAAGTTATTTAAAAAAGTGTTTTAACTAAAAAAAGTAAATACTCTCTTTAAAATCGTTTTCTTTGCCGTTAGTACATGTTACCTGAGTTAAGTGTTTGGTGCCTAGCCGGTAGGAATTACTGTACAGTGCTTTGCACCTAGGCAGCAAGCACTGTGCAGTGTTTGTTACCTTCCGATACGGCTTACTGTACAGTATACGCTACCGTTAAGTCAGTCCTGCCTACTACACCGGAACCAGTTTATGCCGAGTCTCTGATTACGGGTACCCGGCTGAAAAAATCGGGTCCATTTTTTAAAAGTTGGAATAAAAACTTGTGAAAAATCTAGCGCTGCACAGTGGGCTAATTTTCAAAAAAGCTGCCCAAAAGTCAAAAAAAAAATCACTATTTTGAATTTATTATTTTGAAACTACATAAACATAGCCCTGTTGCATTTTATTGTATAAGAAAAAATTGTATAAATTTTAAAGTTACCTATATCTACGCAGTTAACAACAACTGTTATTAAAAACACTTAATTGGCGTTTTAAAAACAAAACAAAAAAAGTGGTTAAATAAGTATCGTTTACAAAAAAGTTATTTATCGTTACTAAAAAACTAACTATGGACGATACTATTCAAGGTATTTATATAATATTTTAGTAAAAAGTTTTATATTATTTCTCTAAATTTTATGCGAAAAGTGCGAACAAAAAAGTACAGAATAAAGTTTATTTATTTTCTTTAACTTATTTTTCAAGCATTGAAAAAGTAGTGAACCCGCGAGATTCCGCTTAGTTATAATTTGGATGTTGTTCATAAAAGTGTATTCTAAAGATTGGTTAAAAGAAAAGGCACCTATTTTTGCCTATTACTTCATTAACTTATATTGTGTAGTGCTAGTCGTGTTTTTTAGTAAACAAAATGGCGGTGTTTTGTTTTCTTTACAAAATCAGTCAACTTGTTTCCTTTACAAAATCAGTCAACTGATTTTGTTAAGTGAAATAAAACTACGATAAAATTAGTAGCACACATGAATGAAAGTTAGAGTGTAAGGGGGGGGGGGACAAACCCCCTCGGTTACAACGTCTTTTTTACCTCAGCTACGACGATTTTTGTATAGTTTTATTGAATTTTACAAAATCAATTCCTCAAAAAACATAATAACTATATCTATATACAATCATATGATTAACAGTATATTTTACCTTTCTCTTATATATCGAATTTATATAATATAATATATTATCGATTACTTTTTATTTTATTTTTAATTAGTTTAGTAAAGTTATAATGTTTTTATGATTTTTTCAATTATTATATTTTCAATTAATATCTAAGGTTCAAAAAAAGATCATTTGCAAATTCCTCGAATTGAAGTTTTTGAAATTTTAAAAAACTAGTTATCTTCAGATCTAGATGACCAGCTTGATATTTTGCAATCACAGTTGTGTCTAAGAAGAAAAATTTGTTTCCAATTTTCAACAGATGATAAAAAGAAACTAAAAAATGTTTGACAAAATTAAAAATAAAATGGAAAAGTAGTAACCGAACAAAAAAAATATTTTTGAAGACACATGACACTTGGTTAAAAGCCTCAACAAATATTTGTGTAAGTTATTTAACTCTTATCTCTATTAAAGTTTAAAACTTTTTTATATTTACTAAACATTTAAATAATTTCAGATGGTTCAAGCACGAAACAAAGAGAAAAAAAGCCATAGTGCAATGGGTCGACCACCTTTGAATTTTGATGAAGCAAGTGAGCGAACGAAACGGCGAAAATTGCTTCTCAGATGAGTCTTCGGGCTTCAGGAGCATGCAATGCCGGAGTTACAGTTAAAGATTTACCTTCCACCATTCAACACCGAGTCGCAAATTATATAGAGAGCCTTAAATTGTCCCAAATTTCACAAACATCTGAACTATGTGCTGAAACAGCTCTTTCCATACTAATGGAAGCAAAGCTTTCTAAACACCAATACTGCATTATAAGAAGTGCTGCAATTGCAAATAGCTCTTCTTTTTTACCATCTTACGAAAAACTTAAAGAAGCCAAGAAAACGTGTTACCCTGAAGATATAACGGTAACTGAAATAAGCGCCGAAGTAAAACTGCAATCTTTATTAAATCACACTTGTTTACGAATTATAAAAACTCATCAAGATGTAATTGACTTCTTGAATGTAAATATTTTATCAAATTTTATTTTAATTCTTAAGTGGGGGTTTGATGGCAGTTCCGGTCATAGCGAATATAAACAGAGATTTGCCGATGGAAGAAACTCAGATGCAAATGTTTTTCTGACTTCACTTGTACCATTACAACTTTTGTGTACAAATTCAGTTTTAGATCAAGATGTTATTCTATGGAAAAATAGGACACCCTCATCTACTCGATTTTGCCGATCTATCAGACTGCAATTTCTTCACGAAAATGTCCATACAAGCATTAATGAAAAAGACTATATTGATGATATAATTAAATCACTGGTTCCTCTCATCATTGTTCAACATAAAATAGAAATTAAAATACATTATAAATTGGTTATGACAATGATTGACGGAAAAGTTTGCAATGCAATAACATTGACAAAATCAACAATGCGGTGTTATTTGTGTTCTGCTACTTCGAGTCAATTCAATAATATCAATTTCGTTAAAGAAATAAAAGTTGGCGAATCAAAATTGGAATGTTTTTTGCATCTCGGGTATAAACTTGGAATAAAAAAATGGCAAGCACGTTCTGACATTGAAAAAAGTATAATATTACAAGAAAAATTGTTAATCCAGAATGCTTTTAAGCTGCAGCTAGGGTTAATAGTTGATCGACCGAAACCAGGATGCGGTAATACAAATGACGGAAATACAGCTCGAAGATTTTTTAAAAACTCAAAAGTGTCTGCTGATATTCTAGGAGTGGATTTGGAAATTTTTAGCTTACTTTGAAGTAAAAAAGTAAGTTAACAAAGATACTTGTAAGTTAAAATAACTTGCTAAAGTAAGTCATAAAAATGTTATTTAGATGTTACTTATATAAATGATTTTATCAGCGTATTATGTCCGAAAAAGAGCTTTAGATGTTATATATATTTTTTTCTACTTGAGGTGTTTTTGTTAGTTAAAGAAACTTTTATTTTTTTTATACAATTTTCAAAACCATTTTACTACCCCCTAGTAGTGAACCTAAAGAGCACCGTTTTGGAGTATTTAGGTCAATTTTACTCATCGGCTTTATAGATCACACTTCTAATCGGTTCTAACGTATACTAACTATATATATAGTTATCATAATGTAAAATGTAATTTTCCATTAATTATAATCATTTTTTGACTTTTGGCCAGGTTTTTTGAAATTCCGCCCACTGTGCGCTGAACTATTCACACAAAATACGCTTTTTACGCTAACTAACCAACTAACCAAAAATAGACGGCAATGATTGAACCTTTTTTTTTTCTTCCGCAAGTTCAAACTCTTTGGAATGCTTTAAACGCAAATGTTTTACCATTGCTGTAGTTCCATAAGATTTGAAAGATTTTCTCCTCTCGTAACTAAACTACCACATAGTTTGCACTTACTCATATGAGGAGTCGTACTTATATCAAAGAACTTCCACGCTATACTTTTTTTTGTCATAATTTTTCTTTCAAAATTTCTATAAAGATAATGAAACTAGTTTTGATATCAAAGTTTTCGTTTATTTTATATAAAACGATAATTTTTTTAATAATACGCTTGAAATTAAAATATGAAAAATGTGTATAATATTTACCTTATATCTCTACTTTTATGATTTTTGCTTCATACGAATGAAAAGTGCTACCAGCGTTCGAAAGCATTATAAGCGTTTCATTCAAAACTAAATTGCTAAAAATTATCTTGTGTTCTAACAGAATAAAAAGAAGCTATTCTAAAAATTTTTTTCCCATTCTTTTTATTCGTATTCTCGAATTATTTCATTTAGTGTTACAGTTTTTGTATCCGTATAAATTTTTTTGCAAAAATGTATTAATAAAATATTTTAAGTGAGATTGTTTTAAGTTAATAGAACTTTGTGGTTATCGATTACATAACACTCTTAGACTTATATTAAGTAGTTTAATGGTTAAAGTTTAAACTAAAGGAAAAATCAATTTGAAGATACCCGGTGCCGGGTACTGCAACAAAATGACCGATACCGTGTACCCGGTAAAACAGCCGAATTGCCGGGTCCCCGGGTCCGAACCGGGTACCCGGCACATTACTAGTTTTCATGCCAACTGTCCTATCAACCGAATGTTGCCACTATCCGAGGTGCAAAACGAAGAATGCATAGATATCAGAAGCTATATGCAAATATTCAACGGTAAATTTAATATATTTGATTAAAGATGAAATTGATCAGCATTATCGTCAGCTAAGTGATATTTTATTATTAGCAGATTGAAGACACACAACTTTATTATTTCTGTGGAATTGATTATATTTTTAGCATGAAAAGAGTATCCTCATTATCAGAGAGCTATTTAGAACAATTTATTTGAATATGTCTTTAATATTGCAATTTAATAAAGTGATTTATTACGAATTTTCATTAAAAACTCGATGATGTGTTTTTATTTTTTATTACTTTTTTAAGGATAACTAAATACTTTGTGTAAAGTGTTTTTATATTTTTAAAAACTTTGGCATTGCTAAATGATACTTTTAAAATACCTAAAATGTAATGTTTGCTGATAGTACTATATTTTGTCACAATAGGTAATAAAAAGACGCGATGTCACGACCACGCCTTTTTGTTTGCTACCCTTTTTATGCAAGACATGTACAAAAAATGAAAAATAGTTATACCATAATTAAAAAAATTTTTCCTCTAAAAATTAATAATTAAAAAACAACTTTTATAAATTTACAACTCTAACATTATAATATTATAATTATAGCACTATAAATTTAATAGTAAATGACCAAAGGTACACATTAACAAAAAAAGGTTTATTGAGTTCCTTGCTTATAATTTTACCTGCTGCAGTAGAAATGATACGACTATATATATAAAAAGACCCCGTAAAATTAAAAAGTTCGTTTCTCTTCTTACGGACTTATAGAAGACTCTAAAAATTTGAAAATGGTGACTGAAGCACCTTGTGATACGTTGGAATCATCATACCAAATATTTAACAAATTGACCTCTGAACCGGATATATTTCTTACTCCTCAAATAAATTTATGCAGCGATTTTATTAAACTATCAAAAGAACTATACGATTATATGAACAGTTTTAACGCCAGTACTACAAATAATAATTCCTTAAAAGAACTTTTAGTGGATGGTTTTGATAACGAACAAATTTGGCAGCAAATTCAAATTTGTAATAACTACAGTATAAACCAAAATCGTAAAGCAATAAATCAGCTAAATGAAATCTCAAAGCTTAACTCATCAAAAAATTTTATTACGATTAAAAAAACTAAAAATAAATCTAACAATGACTCTGAAACAGAGGTGAATTCTAATTCAGAAGATGTTGAAAGTGAAGAGTTAGAACCAGAGAGCAGTGAAAACGAAGATAAAGATGATTTTAGTAATCCAAAAAAAGTTTATAAGTCAACAGTTGTTGATGATGATTTCTTTAAAATGGGTGAAATGGAAGAGTTTTTAGATGCACAAGATCAAATCGAAGAGCAACTAAATGCTGGACAAATTAAAAGTAACAGTGAAAATGATATAGATCTTTTTAATGAACTCAGTGACAATGAAGATTTTGAAAAAAGGTATATAAGTTTATAATAATATTTATGGGTCACTCTATTAGCCATTCTAGAGGATTTTTTTTGTTAACATTTTATATTTATAGTTAACATGGTTGTATAGAGCTGAAAAACTTAAAAAATGAGCCTTTCAATTATAGAAGTTAAGTGGATCCAAAGTTATTGATTTTTTTGTGCTGGAAAAACTGATTATTTTTACTTAAGTACTTAAGTACGGAAAATTGGCTGTGTAATGGTACAAAATAAAAAAAGAAAACATAAAAAATCTAGTAAAAAAAAATCAAACAAGTGATACACAAAGGAAAAAAACATAGATAATTTCTATATACAAATCCAAAATTTTCAAGGAAACATAACTAAATACTTGTTTTAAATTAAGAAAAGGCTTTAATTTCACTCCACATAGACTTTTTCAAAAAACACTGTTTTTTCAAATCAACCTTGAAGTTTTTAAGGACTGAGAACTTAAAAAGTTATGTATAAGTGTTAAAAGGAGTCCATATATATATGGACTCCTCTCCAATACATATGGAAAGTATATATGGACTCCTCCAATGTATATGGAAAAACTGAAGCACCTTGTAATATGTTAGAATCATCATACCAAGTATTTAACAAATTGACCTCTGAACCAGATATATTTCTTACTCCTCAAATAAATTTATGCAGTGATTTAATTAATTTATCAAGGAACTATACAATTATATGAATAGGTTTACTGCCACTACTACAAGTAATAATTCCTTAAAAGAACTTTTAGTAGATGCCATTTTTATTTATAATTAACATGGTTGTATAGAGCTGAAAAAAACTTAAAAAAATAAGGGGTCTTTCAACTTTAGAAGTTAAGTGGATTCAAGGTTATTGATTTTTTTTGTGCTGGAAAAGCTGAATAATATTTGACAAAAACCTTGTACTTAAATATAGAAAATGTGTAATGGTACAAAGTAAAATAAGAAAACATCAAAATGTAGCAAAAAAATCAAAACAAATGGCTTACTCTGTATTAAATCATCAGACACATGTCACCCTATGATTTGGATGTTGCTTATTTTTATATAAGTTACAGGGCTTATTTAAATGTTAAGTTAACATTTAAATAAGCCCTGTTAAAAAATTAGTTTATGTCAGGCAGGCCTATAATCATCAAGGTCACTACTGATAACAAGTAATCCAGTATAACCTATTGCATGTCTTGTTGCCTTGTAGGATTCCTTTTCTCAACTAAGGCTAAAAGCAGTGAATTACATATTATTAATACTATCTAATATCTGTAATTACTAGTGGGGTTATCCTGCAATTAATCAGCACAAAATTATTTTATTTATTAGTTTGAAAAAACTATGCGGTAGTGAAGTAAAAATTAAAACAAAGTAAACAAAATTATGCAAACCTATTTCTTTAAGTACTTAAAAATAGAAATTAAAGAAGTATTCAAAGAAACATAAACTTACATTAAAATACCTTTAATCAGTTTATTTTCAGCTTGTTTCTTACTTTGTTTTAAAATAAGTAATTTTAAATATAAAATAAATTATAAATTTAATTTATAAAATTTAATATATAAATTTAATAATAATTTAAAATATAATAATAAAAAGTAATAAAAATAAAATATTCAAAATTAATAAAAACCTATTAATAAAAGAAAAAATTAAATATTGAACAAACATAAAGTTAAAATTAAAATACATTACTTTTTATAAATATTTAAAACTTTATTTACTTTGTTTTATAAAAACATTAAGAAAGTCTCTACGGACAACAACATAAAAAGATAAAAAATGATTTATTTTACGCCACTTAACTACAGGATGACCTCTTGTGATATCTGTTTTTGTTAGTTATAAAGTTGGAGATGTCTTGTCAGTTATTATATATGCATGTTTGTATTCTAAATTGTCACTATGGAAGAGGTTCTCTGAACCTCTTCCACAGTGTTTCCTCACCCGTATGCTACTATATGTTTGTTTAAATATCTGGTATATTGTAAACTCAGTATAGTGTAAACTCATGTAAACGTATTTAACGAATTTATTATGTATTGCTGATATGTGTTGGATGAGTTCTGTTACAGTAGACTTATGAAATTTTTTTAATGTTTGTATATGTTTTAGTTTCAGGCTTTCTCCACTCGTCCCAGGATACTTTGAAACTAAATGTATTAACAGTTTGCAAGCGTTTATCGAACTGTTTCATATTTTTGCATGCAACGCATTTGTCATAGGCACAATCTTATGTGTACGGTTCACAAACAAAGTTATTTTGTTTGTGATTACAACTCTTAATTTTACTTTAGCAGTATAAGCTGCTTTTTTATTAGGATCAGCTTTCAATTTTTCTCTATATCTCTTAGATCTTACTCTGGGCATTTCTTTCTTTTTATCGGCATTCCGAGAAACATAATTAGCTTGGTATTCTGCATAACGTTTCTTTTTTACTTTACTTCTAATTTTGATTCCATTTCTTAAAAGTTTACATTTTTATAAGAAAATGCTAACATAAATGCAATAATTTACAAATAATTACAAATAGCCCTTCACAATACTAAAAAGTAAAATTTATTCAACTAAAACCCACAACAAAAGATGATATTTTGACTTCCTTACCGCGCTATTTTATAAAATGCTAAATATCCCGTCAATAGGTTCAGTGGCGCAACAGCTTTTAAACAATAACTATATGTTAACATAATGCTTCTTAAAGGGACCACCAAATTCCGAGACATGTTGTGTTCATATTACAGAGAATGTTAAGAAAAAATGTTTAAGCAAATTTTTTTGAATTAAAACTAATTAATAAATTTATACCAAGAAAAGCAAATCTTGTTATTTTAGTCCAAGCTTGTCTTCTCCATTTTCTGCGGTATTTGGAGTCTTTAAAATAAACGCACTTTTCCAGGCGCATTATACAGACTTGATAATTTATTCAAGTGCGTTTAATTCATAGGAGTTTTAGTACATGACGTCATTGGAAACATTTTAGAAATTCTTTAAAAATTTTACTATTAATTTTTACTAAAAGAGCTAACTATAGTTAGTTATTTTATTTCCTAAAATCTTCAGATTGAAAAATATTTTATGTTTTTTTGTAGCTATCAGAGCCGTGGCTACATGGGCCACAGCGATGGTGGACCTATGGTTATACCTAACATTCAAAGTTTTTTTAAATGTTGAGACTCTAATGACATGTTTTATAGGGAGGGGATCTCCAACCCTATCCATGGCACTGGTAGCTATAATTTGGAATTTCTCAATATTTAATATTGTTATATATATGATATTTATAAAGATACTGATAAAAAGTTGTTTTGTATTGTTTTGTAAATTTTTATTAGTAACTTTTATTTCTAAACTTTTATTATGGTATTATCCATGGCCATCAACACCGGGCTAGGGGTCCCCGGTGTTGATGGCCCCCTAACCTTTTTTTTTTTTTGAAATATAAATTTTTTTTTTTAAATCAGGGAGTGACCCTCTTTAAAATTTACAATTTAAAATAACAATGCCACGTTGCGCTGTTATCGGTTGCTTTAGCAATAACAAATCCGGTTCTCATATAACGTTTCATAGATTACCGTTAGATCCAATAATGAGGGGGGGATGGCATGGGGGCATGGACCTTCACTATTCAAAACTCTATCTTTTGGTTTCTTTACTTTAAAGATTTTTTTAATTTCATTTTTACCCTAACTTCATACAATAACAGTAATAATCAAAACTAGAAATGAAACTCATAAACTGAAAAAAAACTGTGTATGTTGATACTTATGTCATATCAGGATATTTCCCGAAAAGTTGCGCTGATGGGAACAAAAATGGCTATAAAAGTACACATTGCCCTCCCTAATTTGGGCAATCAGTTTTAAATATCCTAGAATATTTTTAAATTTCTAAAATATGTATTATATATTCTATTGTGCATAAAGTTTTTAGATTTTGACACTTTTAAATCCACCAGTATATTTCCAGGCATCTACCACTTCAGATATACCTAAGGCTCCTTCGTCATCACCTTCGAAATTTGTGTAAATTCCATTAACATCTGGAAACCTGGATCTTATTGCTGAGACAACACATTCTGGTAGAATCTTTCAATTATACCTTTTAAGTATACAGTATGTTAACCATGTAAACTGACAATAAGCGGCATATCTGAATGTTTTTTAAAAGAAATGGAGAAATACAAATATTTTTCAATAAACAAAGTTATATAAATAAAATCAAGTTTAATGTAAGACAACCAAATTGTATATATAAAAATACTTGTTCAAGTTTTCTTTGAATGAATCTGGCATACACGCTCCTTCTCTGTCATTCAGACTGGCCATTGATATCCATAATGGATATGGCTCAATGCAGCCTGTCACAAAACTTCTGTGTTCTGTTATGCACTTTTGGTCTAAAATAAAATAAAAATTATTTTTAACTTTACATAGCCATTATGTGACAGTTTGTTATAACCCCCCCCCCTAATTTTTGAAGAGTTCTGTTTTTTCCATTGAAATTAAGATTCTGGTTGCATTTTATTTTCATTTCAGCACCTCCCTCAACACTTTGGACCTTCCATAGCCATTATATATATTTGATGCTATAATAATGAAAATATAAATAATGAAATAAGATCACCTCAATGACAAATAATACATTTTTAAAAATTAGAAAAAGTAAATTAATAAAAGTGCGTTATTAATTTAGGTTAAAAATGATTTCATCTAATATTTTGAAAGAAAAACTTATAAAAAATCATTATATTACTTTATAACTAAATCAAAATATATGTGGTCTAAATGATTATTTAAGAAAAGTTGCGCAAATAAAATACTATTTTGTTTTTATATTTTAAAGGTCTATAAACACATTTTAGAAGTTTAAAATAAAATAAAATTAAATATGATTTGGAAATTGTATATAAAAAATAATAATCGGTGTTTTAAACAAACAAAAATAAAATCTATGATGTCATGTACTAAAACTCCTATGAATTAAACACCCTTGAATAAA